AAAGCCCAAAGCAGTTTTTAATTTTAATTCAAAGTATTGTTTAACTAAGTGCTCTACCAAACCAAACCTAATACCCCTTGACAGCGTGATTTAACGCTCCAGGGGGGCCCTAATCTTCCAACCACCAAGGGGAGGCCACATGGCGTGAACCCGAAATCAATAGAGCACAACCGCTAACAGTCGCCACTCGGGTTGTACGCCTTCACTGAGGCCGTCGGCAACAGAACATTTTGACAAGTGGACTGTTGACGGCTTAAGGCTCAATGGAGGTGGCCGTGGTGGGAGCTAAGGCGGCAGCTAGCCAGGGCCGCCTCCATCAAATGGGGAACAGTGGTACACCAGTCGCGGCCACTCAGCTAACGGGAGTGAGAAGGGTCCAGCGAACCGATGAGTGGCCGTGAAGTTCCTCTCCACACGCTGAGGGGGGGTGATGACACCCCCGCCCCTGGGGGAATTACCCCCCGACTGGTCGGGGGAGGGGCTCCTTTCAAACTTAGGGGCCTGGTGGCTGGCCGGTGGGCGCCGATTGTCGCCCGGCAGAGGGCGTGGCTGAGCGCCCCCGCCCGTGGGGGTCGAGGGCCTGGCAGAGCCCCGAGAGGAGACGCCGTTCGCACCCAGGCACAAAACTGCATGGTGATGGCCCTGGCAATGCAGACAGGGCCGTCGATGCGGACAGTCTCGCTGGAGGTGCCCTCCCAGACATGAACAGAACCAGCGGCGCTCCTTGGCGATAGTTCGCCTCGCTGGAACCGGCTTACCTAATAATTTCGGGCACGACGTTACCCGATGATCAGACGCTCGACAATAGGAGCAGGGGGGGGGGGGGGGGTTGACGACGACTTGCCTGGAGGATTCAGCCTCTCACTGGGCACGGCTCGTAAGTCGTCAACGGTGCCCGCCGCGTTCTCTATCTGCCGGCACTGCCCCTCCAAAAACCGCAGCAGGTCATAGAAGGGCGGAATATAGGAGGCCTCGTCCCCGCCGTACCTCTCCTCAAAATGGATTCGAAGGTCGAGAGGTAGACGGGACAGCACGATGCGGAGCAACAAAAAAGCCCATTCGCCCACTGGTAAACCCAGCCGCCTCAACGTATTACAGGCCACCAAGACTGGATCCAACAGGTCCGGACGCAGTCTGGTCGGGTCACTAAGCAGCGGGAGGCTTAGAAGCTGCTTAACATGTTCGTCCGCAATTCGCTGGTCGTTGGCGTACCTTCTGGCTAGGAGGTCCCGAGCAGTCTGGTAGGCGTCGTCCGACAATCTCAAGTGGCCGACGACGCCCAGGGCCTCCCCCTCCAGTGAGGCCAGGAGGTACACCATCTTTTGGCTCGGGGTCAAGTCACTCCGGGCGTCCACTAGGCTGTCGAAAAGACCAACGAAGGTCAGCCATTCGGAAAGGACCCCGGAGAACTTTGGCAGGTCCAGAGTTGGGAGTCGTCCCAACAGCTCCGGCTGAAGCTGCTTCAGAGAGGACTCGGACAGGTCACTCATCCGAGCTTTACGTGCCTCCTCGGCATACCTGCCTTCAGCCTCGATCAACTCGTCCGTGAGCCATAAGAACTGCTCATAGTCCGCGAAGCAGGAGTCCAGGACTCCCTTCTCCACATCCGAATCCTCGAGCTCAGCGTAAGCCTCCTCCACTGCGGCCCTTCGAACATCCACCTGATCGAACCGCTTCATCAAATTATGGATCCTATCCGGTCGACCTATCAAAGCATGGGTGCTTATGGCCCAGCGCAACTCAGTCCGCAGACAACGGATCAGTAGCTTGGGCGATGACATCACTACTAAATACAAATTACGACGCGGCTCGAGCACAAATTACAAAGATAACAAATAAAAATACAACAAAAAATTAACAGTTAATAAATGCAGTTCCTATCAAATCGCGTTGAATAGAAATTACACAAATACGAATTACTATGTATCAACCAAATACAAGTTAGCACAAAAGAAAAGACACAAATCAAATTAACAAATAACAAATACTAGTGCGATCAAATCAAGTTAAATTCAAATGGCGCAAATACAAATTACTACTCTTTAGTTCAAATACAAATTACAGTATAAACGAAGATACACATAACGGTCGATCAACAAAAAATGCCTAGCTCGGAAATCGACCCTTCGATAAGTAATCCACTACAACTATCCGACAACGATAATTAACCGATAACGTAAAAATAACCATCTACCTACATGACGTATATCTCTAGAAAAACTCCCGATTGCGCAACCTAGGGCGCGGCTTTTCAAACTACATACTAACCAAAAAAAAAAAGGCAAGCAACAAACAACAAAGGGAAATAATTTTATTATTACGTACAAAAAAATATTTTTACGTATTACGGACGGGCGTGATTGTAGATACAAATTAAACCAATCAAACCAACGCTCCCTGCCACCAGAATTGTTTAATTTTTATCAAACACTATGGTCGGGATCGACCGGGGAATCGAACCCGGAACCGCGCTCTGCTACCAGTTTGTTACGGCCTACGGCTGCTCCCTTAAAGGATCCAATCCTCTGGGGCCCATGAGCAGAAGACTTCCCGAGCAAACGTAGGTCGGGCCTCAATGTGGCCACGTGGAAATTCCTAATTACAATAAACCAGATGGGAGGACGCTAGAAAGACATAGTACTTACCATTATCCGAAGCTAACTTCGCACCAAGGCTTGGGCAGGCCGTGAGTGTGTGTAATAGTGGATGGAGAGTAGTGTACAGTGAGGGGTGAATGTGTGGGGCCTTGTCAAGCATAGGCGACCAGCCGCTGCCGAGTTCCAGGCTGCTCCAAAATGCTGCCACACTGCTTCAGACTGCTTCGGCGCCGGACCACAGTCACTTTCTTCTTTCGTCACGATGACAGTCAATTAACTCTATCGTACGATTAACTAACTTACAGAAGCCACTAACTATCGCTGGGTATAAGGTTAACGCACAAACGCACACGGAGTTTAAAGGTCACGGCCGTTTCGCGTAGCAACAGTTAGTTCTAGAATATCAGAGGCCGCACTAGCTAATATTGTCGAATGCACTTATACAGATTCTGAGTCGGACCCAATAAGTCCCGGGAAAGGCTATCCAAACAGGGAATGCGCGTTATAATTTCTAGACAGGATATTTACTAGACGCCCTAACTATTCCGCGGTTCCCGCACAAAATTAACAGCGTGCAGACATTAGCACATCTGGCAGACGACTGACTTTTCGCTCGCGACCCGCCCACTCTTGCCACGCTCGGCCGAACTTCAAACCAGTTCGCACCGAGCCGAGTGCCTTCTGGCGTCGATTCTTTACATTAGCGTTTGGCGCGAACAAAACCCATCGGGACTTTTTATAAAATAAATTTTACAATATATGTAAATTGTTACAAACTATTTACAAAATTATGTTAGAAACAGCTTGGAAGCGATCACCTCATCCCCAGGGGTTATTATCAACAATGTATTCATTTATGTTATTATAACCCTTTTTATACAGTTTTTTTTTGTGGATATACCAACACCACCACTTATCGTTTTTTTTTACAACACGTTACCCCCACACTAGGATTTTCTCCTGTATCGTGGAGGTAGTTTACAAACATATATTGCACAAGGACAAACATCCATACCCGGAACAATTATTTGTAGGCCATACAAATACTTGTTCCGTGCGGGATTCGAACCCTCGGCTCCAAGCGTTGCAACTCATTGCTAAGCCATTACGCCACGGAGCCGTCAGGTTTACAATCACAAATTAATTTTAAATCCTCCAAGCGTTGCAACTCATTGCTAAGCCATTACGCCACGAAGCCATCAGGTTTACAACCACAAATTAATTTTAAATTATTTTGTGATTATGAACCATCTACTTCATGTACTCAAACGTTACTCCTTGTGCATGTCGGAGACTCACTATATAGAACATTAAATAAAGATATCGCTTAGAATTTTTAAAAACCATAAAACGATCGCTTCGATCTTCAATCTTTCTTGAAATATTAACGCTTGGTCAAAGTTCAAATAGCAGCCTTATTTAATGGAGCCGTTCTATTGCGCCTCGAGGGAAACTTGATTAAAATATCTTAAGAGGTAGTGTAAAAGGAGATAAAACAGAATTAAGACACTGTCATAAAACCAATCATGAACGTGATTCGGAGTACTAATATATATATATATATATATATATATATATGTTAACCTACTGATGCGGTCCCGGGTTCGAATCCCGGATTGGGCCAAAAAAAACAGTTATTGAGTTTTTCCATCAAGAAATTCTCAGTAGCTGCCTAGAGTCAGGAAATTGGCGGTGTCTCTCTACCGTGCCTCGAAAATCATCTAAAGTCTTCGGTCTTGCACCTGATCTCTCTTCGGTTGTGTCGGATTACCGTCTCATCGGACTATGAGAGTGAGGGAATACAGTGTGCACCTGCGCTTGCCCACACACTTCGGCACTATAATCCTGTCCTGCGCCAATCTATAATCTGGGTTGAGGCTGGCCGCCGTGGCTGAAATTCAGTTTGGAGGACAGTATTATGTTAACCTACTTACTTAACTATTAGGACTGTGAGGCCACCGCTGGACGATAGGGACCCATGTTCAGTAGTTAATTTTAAAGGGCTGACAATGAAGAAGAAAGAGTCGGAAAAAAATTAAATTAAAACTTTTTTTTATAGGATAAGGGTGACAAACGAGCACACAGTCCACCTGATGGTAAGTGGTTGCTGCGGCCCATAGACATCTACATCTATCCTCTATTACAAATCAAAATGCAGATTCGTCGTCACCCGTGAGGAGTAAGATGGAATGCCTCATTTCCAGTAAAAAGGGCCTCCGGCCACCTGTACTCACCAAGCGATACGCAGAGGTAAACCTCTACTTCACGCTGGTATTCTGTGAGGTCGTGGTACCATCTTGGTTCGAGCCGGCCCATCCGTGCGACAGCAAAAGCCGCCACGTGGCTCTACCACAGTTAAAACTACAAAATATTGACCACTCTACAGTCTATAATATTACTTACCGCCACCACAAGTTGCCGAACAGAGGGAGCCAGGCGTCGCCAACCAGTGATATCGTGGCCGGGAGCAGGAAGATCCATCTCCGCCGCACACTCCACACTCGTCTACCCGACGTGTCGAACCCACTCGCAGATCGCAGCCAACGCGCTATAAACAAAAGAAAATTTTTACTTAATGCCCTCTTATACTATCACAGGAGGCAACGAGCTAGCTCGCACTTAGTGCTGTATTATAAATAATAATTTGTATACATATTGTATTGATGAACACCGCGAACATATCGCTTGCTGCATATAAAATGTCAATTAAATCTTAATTTGTGAAAATACTTTGTACTTTATTTACGAAAGTAATGCAGATGAAATCCTAAAAAGCTATAATATATATTTATTATATTATATCGGAATTTATAAGTAATACATATTTATATATATCAGAAGGAGCCGTAACATCGGATTAATTTTCTATCGAGTAAAATGTAGCACATTGTATTTCTAGTGCAGTTTCGTCTAGAGTAGAACCTTGACTGCGTGATGTTATTATTAAGTTCAAAACCATCGCGCGAATTCGTAAAATTGTTTTCACTCTATTGTGAGATGTTAAAATGCGACAAAAAATCACGTATGCCAATTCATAACGCTTTGTTAGTCCAACATACCTACCTTACCTAATGTATGGTAAAAAAGATTGAGTATGGCAGAAACATAACAGTGAAATTGATGAAAAGGGTAAACTTTAGTGGTCCTAGCCTTAAATTATTTTCTTGATATAAATTACAGGAACAACTACGGTATATCGGATTTTGCAGTTGCTTATAGGATAATATTTATATTATAGAAGTACGTCAGACAGTCTAGCACACATTCCACCTCCTTCTAAACGATAAAGTATGCTGTGGTCCATAATTAAAATGAAAAATCCTTGTTGTCAACCCTTAGGACTAAGATGGAATGTTTAGTTACCAATCTAAAGTGTCTCCAATTTTCGTCACTCACGAACCAGTATTATTCTGCTATTTCACGCTGGTATCATTTGCGTGGTCCTTCCCTGGTCGATCCAAACTATTTCCGTTACAATCATAATACGCTGCAATGTGGCTCTACCGTGTACACAGTCCCAGTACAATTGTCTTAAGAAGTTGATTATTTTGAAATTACATATCTTACAAAAGAACTTTTACAAAAGAAGTTGTATTTTGTAACATTAAAAATAATAAGATCGACGGCGGCATATAAGAATCAATCACTGAATTTGATCACCGTGGGTATTGTAAGCGGTGATGGCAAAAGTCTGTAAGACTGGTGGCCTCCAATAGACGGCTGTATCATCATTATCATCATCATCAAAGCCCATCACAAGTATGCTGCTAAACTCTCCCAAATAATGCCGCTATATATAATAAGCACGGTTCTGAGCCACTTCCATCCATTGAGTTCCTGACTCTATTAGGTCGTCACCATATATAATGGTACTCTGTGGCCGTCACTCTATCTAGTGTAGGTTATTGTTGGCAGTAGCTTTGAATGTAATTAGCGGATTATGAATTAATAATTTTTTATGTTATGAGAAAATTTCCGCTAGTTCAGTCTTATTTTCAGCTTTTCAATTTATTTGAGTTGATTTTGAATATGAAACATATTTTTGGAGAATACCATACACTAGTTTACCAATAGAATACCATACATTAGTTTTTTATACGTGGTAGAGCCACGCTGCATCTATATTATGGTTGTAGCACGAATGGGTCGGCTCGACCGGGGAAGGACCACGCTCTCACAGAATACCAGCGTAAAATAGCAGCTTAACGCTGCTGTGTTTCGTATGGTGAGTGTAGAGAACTGGAGACCCTTTTTACTGGAAACGAGGCATTCCATCTTAGTCCTCACGGGTGACAACGCATCTGCATTTTGACTCTTAATCGAAGATAGATGTAGATGTCTATGGGCCACAGCGACCACTTACCATCAGGTGGACTGTGTAATCGTTTGTCACCCTTATCCTATAAAAAAAAGTTAAGGAACTGGAAAATGATGACGAACGATTTATTCTGTACTTTTGTATGACAAAAGTGCAATTTGAGGAGATTCATAAAATTATTGAAAATTGTGTTTTGTAATAAGGCCGTATAAGTTTTATATACGGTTTCATTGGACTAATTTTTTTAAAGAATAATGGTGACAAACGAGCATACAGTCCACCTGATGGTAAACAGATGCTGCAACTCATAAAAGTAAAGTAAAGTAAAGTTGCAGCCTATTTACGTCCCACTGCTGGGCACAGACCTCCTCTCATTTCTGAGAGGAGGCCTTTAGGGCTAGGAAGTGTCCGCCGCGCTGCCTCAATACGTGTTGGCGAACTTCACATGTCTTCGAAATATTTTTTTTATTATTTCTCAGACCTGCAGGTTTCCTCACGATGTTTTCCTTCACCGCCGAGCACTTGGTAAATCAGCACTTAAAATTGGTGAAACAATTTCATTGGTGCCGGCGGGGATCGAACCCGGGTTGCTCGAGTACTATGACTAACCATCTGAGCTACCACGACTCTCATATAAATCTAAATTATGCTCGATAAAGAATTAAAATGCAGATAAGTTGTCACCCCTGAGGACTGAATGCCTCATTTCCAGTAAAAAGGGTCTACGGTTCTCTACACTCACCATACAAAACACAGCAGCATTTAGCTGCTATTTTACGCTAATATTCTGTGAGAGTGTGGCCTTACCCCGGTCGAGCCAACCAATTAGTGCTACAACAATAGCTGCAGCGTGGCTCTACCACGAAAACGTTAATACCAGTCTTGTTATACCTCTACCAATACTACGTGAGTAAACCTTTATTGCGTGTAGAATGTAACCATCGTTGGACTACTAAATTATTAATATTCTGAAATAAGCATAAAGCTTAAGAGCGAACTGATACGTAATCTCATATCTATACATACGTATTATACATACAGATTAAATTGTAGTGTCGGTTTATAATATTGAAATAACTGACTTCTTTTAAGCTCAAGGGGTTTTTTTATAGGATAAAGGTGACAAGTGACAAGCGAGTACACAGTCCATCTGGTGGTAAGTGGTTGCTGTGGCCCATAGACATCTACATCTATCTTCGATTACGAATGAAAATGCAGATGTGTTGTCACCCGTGAGGACTAAGATGGAATGCCTCGTTTCCAGTAAAAAGGTTTGTTGAGATGCTATTAAGACATATATAACCATTTTTAATCGACTTCAAAAAGGAGGAGGTATTCAATTCGACTGTATTTTTTATGGTTACATCAAAACTTTTTTCTGGGTGAACCGATTTTTTTAATTCTTTTTTTTTAATTTGAAAGCTAATGCTTCTCATATGGTCCCATATACATTTGATCAAGGCTTACCAGTAGTTTTTAGTTATCCTTAATAATTTATATTCAAGTCGGTTGTTCATAATTTTTAATTTTACTACTTGTTAAAGTTTTTGTTTGTCTATCTGTCTAGCTGTGTTAATCTTTGGAATAGCTGAATCGATTGTGATGACATTTTACGAACTTAGAGCAATGCTAGATGATATATTTTATTCCTAAAACATGCAAGTTTTTTTTTTGTGAAATTGAGAGGCTGATATAATGATTTATTCGATGTTTATCTTATAGATTATAACAGATAATAAAAAACTTTTGGAGAAGAATTTCTTGGTTTGCAATTTTAAAAAAGGTACTGAAATTTTTTCCTCTATCTCTTAAAGTTTTAACATGTTATTTTTACATCAACACCATTTTAAAACAAAACTATGAGTGTTAAAGGATAAGATGATTAGATATTTTATTAAACTTAAAGTTACAGCCTATATACGTCCCACTGCTGGCCACAGACCTCCTCTAATTTCTGAGAGGGTTTTAGGCAAGAAAGTATTCGCCGCGCTGCTCCACTGCGTGTAAGCGAACTTCACATGGCTTCGATAAAGAAAATTCTCACTTCTCAGACATGCAAGAGCAGTGGTAGCTCAGGAACTAAGCTTGCTCTAAATTTCACGGTAGGTACACGAGCAACCCGGGTGCAATCTCTGCCGGCACCAATGAAATTAATTGCAATTTCGAGTGCTGATTTACCACGTGCTCGGCGGTGAAGGAAAACATCGTGAGGAAAGCTGCATATCCGAGACATTTTATTACAATCGTACAAACGAATAGATCGTCAATTCTTATTTAAACCGTTGCCATATCGTAAATAGGTTTCGAGATAAACCCAAATACACTAAATTCAAAGTGGTTTTTCAATAATTGACAGATAGCCCAAAGACAACTATTATAGATCAATAGAAAAATATCACAACTAATTATTAAAACTAAGTAATAAAAACTAGCTCGAAGTTACGAGCTGCTCGGAATCCTACTATAAATATAATATTATAAACGTAAAAATTTGTGAGGATGTATGTATGTTTGTTATTCTACTACGGATATGGATATTTGTTCTTCTCTAAAAACTATTGAATGTATCTTAATGAAACTTTACAATAATATAGTTTATACATCAGAAAAATACGTAGGCTAGAATAAATAAAAATATTGTGTAACTTGGTCAAAATATAACGATAAGTTATAAGTAAGTCGGAAAAAATCTTTCATCTGAGAGCTATTTTGGCGTGCAGTGCAATAACTGTAAGAGTTACACAAATATAATGTATGGTGGAATTGTTTCTCCTAAATAGTGAATCATAAATATAATAAAATTTAATACTTTATTTCCAATGCACATTTTGCAGTAACAAATGGATATTTTCAAAATAAATACTTTATTCGCTTCTGATGTTCAAAGTAGATAAGCTTTGTCTTTTAAATTACGTAATTTGGTCAAATATTTTAAAGGTAACGACGATATAAAATTGTGCGGTCCGGAGTGGTGGGCGTACTGCGGGCGAGATTGGGGAAAACATCGCTCATCGCCGCGTGAGCAAATGTACCTCTTCGCGCTTAAACCGCTGAACTAATTTAGATAGACTTTAGTATCGAGCTAGTTTTAGTCCCAGGGAAGGAAATAGGATAGATTTGATCACGGAAACCATCCTTAAAGAGTTGGAATTTACTATGAAAGTATAATATCTACGCGGACGAAGTCGCGGGCAAAAGCACATTACAGAAATGTAATTTAGATAAATGAA